TCTTTGTTCTAAAAACTTCCTGGCTGTCACAAGTGCTTCCCTTCCCACCTTTACAGAAATACTTGCTTCTTCTTCCTCACTTGAATCTTCCATATCTACTTGTGTCGGGTGTAAGACACCTTCAGCCAAAAGAATTTCTTCAACGAGTTCTTCATCAATAGGTAACTCTGCACTAACCAAATTATTATCTATCTCAATATATTCATTTGCTGTCAAACTATCTATTGAGGGTTCTGCAATGCAAAGACTATCTAAAGCTGAAATCAATTCAACTATATCATTATCGGCTTCATCAGTCTCCATATTATCTGCATTGACAAGTGTCATTTCTGCAGGTAATATTCCCGTGCTTAACCAGCAGTTCTTTGTTTTACATTGTCCCAAGCGTTTGCAACTATTTCAATCGCTTCTTTAATGTTTAGTTTTTTCATCCCTTGTCCTTCATTCAACTCACGAATCCATTGTGATACTAATATCTTTCGATAATAAACTTTAAAATTGCGAATAATTCCAGCATCGCACGGTTGAATGTAAGCTGTAGTATTTGCTGGAAGAAATTTAATTTGTAAATTTTTAAGACGGAGGGACGAGCCATCTGTATGCGCGGGACAATTATCAACCAACAAAAGTGATTTCTGAGATAGTTGATTGTCAAACCACTTCAGCCATTCATTCCATCTTTCAATTGTCATCCAGGCTTTTTTATTGCTAAAATATCCGACAGGCAATGTTGTCAAGTTGATATTTTTGAAACAACGAGGATTTTTGACTTTTCCTATGACAAATGGCTTTAGTTTTTTCGTTCCCGTTGCATTGCAACAGAGCAAGACTGTAATGCGTTCTTTGTCTTTTTTAGTACCTTTTGCTTTATCACCTTTCGATGCAAGTGTTTTGTTCGGGCCTAATCGGAAGAAGAGTCCTGTTTCATCTGCGTTGTAAACATCATCTATGTTAAACGTAGCTATTATTTGTTGCAATTCTTTTCTTCCATTCTCTACTTGGTTAAGACACGCGGATTCGCTTTCACCAGTGATGGTTTTGCAACGAATATCATATCGATTCTGAAACTTTTCCAACCACCCGTTTGATGCTTCAAAATTAGGAAATTGCGCGCCCTGTTCTATAGCCTTATTATAAAGCTCAACTGCCTTCGCTTTTAACAAATCTTGGGAAACTGGAATATTTTGACTGCGTAAACCTTCAAACCATTTATGAAGTGTCTTTTCTAATGAATAAAATCGCGCCATCTGGATACGCGTTTTTTTCAGATCTGAACTCTTAGCATCTGCATGCAACTGTAGAAATTTCTCTTTATTCCGAAGAATGCCACTTATAGTGGAACGTTCTACACCAAACTCTACAGCCAGTTTTTCATCACTCAATTTTACGTCAACATCTTTTCTCCTAATGATATCAATTTTGTCTTCGAGCGATAGATTTTTTCTTCGTTTTCTTTGTTTATCTACGTTAATGGTCTTTGAAGAACTAGCCATATTTAATCAAATTTAACAAAATAATAGTTATGAGTAAACAAGTGGTATGCTTAATTGTTTAATAAAACTGACAA